CCAATTTAATTTATGCTCCTATTAACAAAAACAGGGAGCTGTCAAAAATATATAGCACAATTCCATGCATCCTTCAGGTCTGTGGCATCAAGGAAAAAGCCATTTCAATCAATGTCTACAAATTTTGATTAACCATAGGCTCTGTTAAAGCTTCTACCAGTACCTAACAGCCATAGGCTTTAGACAGATCGTTTATTTCTCAGTATATCAATAATTCACTTTGTTTAGTCGTTAAGTCATGTCTGACTCTTCATGACCCCATGGACCAGAGCATGCCAGGCCCTCCTGTCTTCCACTGCCTCCTAGAATTGGGTCAAATTCATGTTGGTAGCTTTGATGACTCTGTCCAACCATCTCATGCTCTGTCATCCCCTTCTCCTCTTGCCTTCACACTTTCCCAACATCAGGGTCTTTTCCAGGGAGTCTTCTCTTCTCATGAGATGGCCAAAGCATTGGAGCCTCAGCTTCAGAATCTGCCCTTCCAGTGAGCACTCAGGATTGATTTCCTTGAAAATGGATAATGTGTTCTCTTTGCAGTCCAGGGGACTCTCAAGAGTCTCCTCCAGCTCCTTCATGGATTGCTGCCTTGTTGTGGCGAAGGGGCTTGAGTAATTCAGAGAAGCTATGGGCTATGCCGTGCAGGGACACCCAAGACAGACAGGTCATAGTGGAGAGCTCTGACTAAACACAATCTCCCTGCAGCAGGAACTGGCAAGCCACTCCAGTATCTTTGCCAAGAAAACTCCATGGACAGAAACAAAAGGCTAAAATAATTCATTACCATGCTTCTAAAACCTTTGTATCTGATTGTACAAACATACTGTGCTCTTCCCATGATCTGTTGGTTCTACCCAGCAAAGCAGCATAGCTCTCACTCAACACATTGAATTTTTTATTATAGTAGTATAGCACCTAATGATTCCAATACTTGAACAGGTACAAACTCAGGTGTAGACTGCAATATTTGGAGACTGAATATGAGGTGGTTCCACCCATTACAGCCTGTAAAGCACCTGAAAAACACTCCTGCTCATGTGACATATCTTAGTTGACAGAAACAGCTTTACCAAAATTACTTCTCTACTGTTTATTTTTAAATACATGATTTCTATTTATTATTTGTATAACAGTAATTCCAATAAATTTTAGAACATAAGCTGTTTCCCCTTTCCCTGGTAAATCTGTTCTTGCGAAGTTTTTTGTTTCATGGTGTCAGTATATTGCATACAATTTTTATCAGGTATCCATGATAGTTTCTTACAATCCTTTGCCTATGAAAGTGATGAATGGGTGAAAATTTTTAATGAAATGACCTTGCTTCAATATCCTTTGCTACATTCTGCATTAAGCGTTCTGTCAATGCTACCTTCCATATATTTGATAAATCAGGCATGGATTGCAATGGCTGATTTAGATTTCCTGGCTGCACTGTTTCTAAACAAGCTGCTGTTGAAAGTGATAACTTATGAATTAAAGGCTCTCTTAAGATCTAATTTGAATTTGAAGTTAGATAAAGTAAATACACAAGGAAGGGGAGCATACTATCACTGCCCTGGCTCACTAACCATGCTATCATTTAAAAAAAAATCCTAGAGGGCAACTTGATGAGCAGACAATTCACCTGTTTTAATCATGGCCTGGAATATGTTCCCCTTATCTAACACCAGATTCCTAGTCCCTCCATTGTCCATGTTTGTCCTTATGACGCAACTGAAGATGATCCAAAGACACTAAACAAGGGCATATGGTGGGACAGGCTGTTTCACCTAGTCTTCTCAGGTTTGGGGCTTTACTTCATAAAGTGAGTTAAATGATAGAAAGGAATGGTACACCTCATATCAATGGCACCAATGGATTAATGTTCGCCCTTGCTCATGGAATTCCTACAGCATTGCTTTTTACATGCAATCACTGGATAATCTCAGCTACATGTTGCTGATTTAGATGAGGGAAGCCTTTTTCTATTTCCATGTTGTTATTAAACTTGCACAGTTCCTATACACTTTTTCCAAGCCATACTTGAAGAAAAAGTAATGGCCATTTCAGCTAGGTGCATAAAGTCCCAATTTTTTTTCCTTTTATCAGTTAGGGTAAAGCATCAACAGACTATACTTGAAAGTATCTGCCCTTTCATGTTGTGATCCATTACTATAATGGGGGGGAATACGGCCTGCAAAACAGCTTAGTTATGCCAGCAATTCATGTTAATCAAAAGAAATGCTGAGAAGCTCCACATATGGCTTTTGTACTTCTGTTAAGATCAGCTGACAATTATCAGCAAATTCCCCCTTATGATTCCAATAATGTTCCTAGAACATCTTGGCCACTTGACCATCTGTGTGTGTAAACTTATCAGCAAGAGATCTAACAACTTTCTATTTACAAGTAATTTATGAAGCTGAACAGCATCAACAAATTCCAGGAGAAATTCTCTTCTACTTCTATTGTGGAAACTGTCCATTTCTAGATATGCACCATTACGTAAATGGAATATTAAATAGCATGGGAAAGCCACACAAGAAGGGAGGCTTTTTGCTCCTGATTCTTCTTTGTAAATTGCACCTTTACCTTCATCCCACTTATTAAGAAGCTATGGAGATTTCATGTTAAGTTAAAACTGAAAGTCATCTTTACCAAGAGAGCTGATTCAGCTTTCAAGCTGGGAATGCTGACATCCTCAAAATGTATGCCTGCTGGAGGCTGTACCCCTCGCCTTCCTTGAATAACATCAAACCAACTGGGAGAGCAATCTGCCCTTCTGTAAAGTCAGAAAAAGAGCAGTTGCAGGGAGCTTGTTATTTTCCCACCAGAATTCTGAGCTCTAACAGAGAACTAACTGCCTGCAAGTCCTGGGATAAAGAAAGATGAAAGGATGCACCAGCTCCATAATGAGATTAGAGCACACTAACTGCTCTTTTTGTTTCTGTTCATGGGTTTTTCTTGGCAAACATACTGGAGTGGCTTGCCAGTTCCTGCTCCAGGTGGGTCGCATTTAGTCAGAACTCTCCACTATGACCTGTCCGTCTTGGGTGTCCCTGCACGGCATAGCCCAAAGCTGCTCTGAATTACTCTCATTGACCTGTCCGTCTTGGACCCTGATGTTGGGAAAGTGTGTAGGCAAGAGGAGAAGGGGACGTCAGAGGATGAGATGGTTGGATGGGGTCATCAAAGCTACCAACATGAATTTGACCCAACTCTGGCAGCAAGTGGAAGACAGGAGGGCCTGGCGTGCTCTGGTCCATGGGGTCATGAAGAGTTGGACACGACTTAATGACTAAACAACAACCTGCTCTCCTAGCAAGAGCTCCAGCAAATGAACATCAGTCCAGTCCAAATTGCATGTAATGCTTACTTACTGCTCATCAATTCATTCTGGTCTCGAAGAACTGAGTTTGACCTTCTTCTTTCTCCCACCACTCTCTGCTTTCTGTTTGGTTTGTTGTCTTAAGACATAAGTGGGTGATGTCTTTATTAGACCACTCAAAATATTTTTGGAGCTTGTTTTTTTCTGAAACATCCACTGTTCAGTAGTACTCAGCCTGATGAAGACATATAAGGTCAACAGCTAGCTTATGGTTGTAATTTGTAGCGGTCTGAAAAAAGGCATTGACCACCCTTGCTTTGGATTGTGTACAAGGACCAGAATTCCAACCTGTCACTTACGGGATCAATCCATCTTAGCTTGGTCTAAGGTTGAAGCCTACTTGGAATCAGGGTTGGTCCAAATAAACATGGTTGTTTTGCTTTGCAGTCACCTAGATTGCTCCAGTGTGGGGCTGGGTTCTTCCTATATAGTGGTGATGTGTACAGGTGGGTGTGGTCTGGCCGTGACTACAGATAGCACCTTCCATCCTGTTTTGAAGTGAAAAAGGATGCTTTTGTTTAAATTTCTTAAAATTTTTAAAAATACCCACACTTCATCACTTAAGCACTATGCCACTTACCAAATATATTTTTTAAATAAATACGTATGGGATTGAAACATGGCACTCTGCACCTCCCTTTGTATGCATAAAAACCCAGTATTAATAGCTACCCACAGGCAAATGGAAGCAGGCGGTTTCCCAACTAGCTGACAACTATTGTCCACCTTCCATCCTGTTTTGAAGTGAAAAAGGATGCTTTTGTTTAAATTTCTTAAAATTTTTAAAAATACCCACACTTCATCACTTAAGCACTATGCCACTTACCAAATATATATATATTTAAATAGATAAATATGGGATTGAAACATGGCACTCTGCACCTCCCTTTGTATGCATAAAAACCCAGTATTAATAGCTACCCACATGTAAATGGAAGCAGGCGGTTTCCCAACTAGCTGACAACTATTGTCAAAGAGAAGGCAGGAGGAGATGGGCACATTGTAACCAAACTGACCAAAACTGAGAGCTCTAACATCAACATGTGGTTGGCTAGATAGCAACTATAGGGGTGGTAGGAGCAATTTCAATGTGAACAGAAGGGAATATCTAATCAAGCCCCATCATTCCAAAGCGACCCAGACTAGATCATTCCCTGTTGCTGATGTAGATGCACCCTCAGAGTGATGAATAAGTTTCTTGATCACAGCTCAAGTGATACTACTTAGTCTACTTTAAGTTATTCTAGAAAGCGGCCTAAGACAGTGTTATTTGTAGTGACTCACAGCTTATTTCCCCAACGTGATGCTATTCAGATATTTTGGACACAATTTTCATTAGCCCCAAGTCACACAGCCAATGGTCTTGGATGATGGAAACTGTGTCCTACTTGTTTTCCTCTTGTGTTAGAACAAATCCCTTATTTTTTATGTTACCGGCAGCTCAGCCAGAATTAGCTGCAATCCGCTGGTGTTATTGCTTCTTAGCATATTCCCTCTTCAAAATACACAGAAACACCACTGGAGAGCAAATAATTAATATCATGGAATATTTTATAATAAATATATTTGGAAGATTTATCTTCATTATTAAGTTAAGATGATTCACAAATTAAGAAAATACTTCAAAATACAATTAATCCAAATTTCAGACACAAAACTGGTTAAGCTGGAAGGCAGTTTCAAAATACTAAAAATTAGAAAGTAAATTTCACACGCTCCTGCTACCACAGCATGACAGTTCAAGGGCAAAGATATTTTTGATCACTATACATTATGTAATTATATAACAAATATACAAAACAAACTTGAATATGACTGAGAAAACAGCAGTCCTCTAGAGCCAAGAACACAGTGTAATATAGTAATAATGAGTCTATTTGAACAAAGTAGGTTTTTAATAAGATTTTTCAAATACTGGCAGCAAGCCAAATTACAAAGTATCTTAATATACAAAATGATTACAAAAGCCCACAAAAACATCACAATATTTTTTAAAAGCATGAATACCTTAAGGATTAGACATATTTTCTAAACATAAACAACAGGGTATATTTATCTTTTCCAGTCCAAATTGAAGAGAAAATATTAGGAGCTTTGATAGTTTTAGCTAATGTTCCTGAAAGTTGTGGCACAGGGCCAATTTTTAACAAGTAAAAGCGAGCTAAAACTATAATTATGACATTTGGCACGAACAACCTGAACACTGACTGTATCTCCTCATTTGCCTTAGAGGAAAAGTAATGATCAAGTTACCTTAGAGGCCGGTTCCAGAATTGTAATGGGCTGGATTGTCTAACAGAGGTTTAGACCAATAAATGAGTTTCCTTTTAGACATTAAAATCAGCTCCAAAAAGGGTCCCATAAGTGAAAGTCTAATGATTTATTCACTTATCCTCTACTTACGGAAGATATCTTGGGGGAAAGGAATTAAAGTTATTCTAAAACTATATCCAATGCAAAACATTTTTCAAGTATTATTGAACTCATGCTTATATACTACGCAGCAACAAGAGAAACAATTAAAGAGATGAACATCTGGTAAAGTATCAAGGTGTAATATGCTAGTATGGATTTCATACAACATACTATATTGTCTGTTATATAAATGTCTTGCAATGTTTCTTGAAATGCAGCATCTTCAGTAGTCTGCTTCTTGAAAAGCTATGTTTATGTTAACGAAGTTGTCCAAGTAAAGTCAATATTCACAGGTGATGAACTCCTATTTTGGTTAAGTCAGATCAAATGTTAGATAATCATCAGGCAGAAAACTGGCCGGTTTCTTTTATTGTTCACAGACAAGTCCAGACTGCACTTAGAGATTTCATCTGGAAAGGGTTTAGTGCAGTAGAGGAAGTCAAAGCTTAGAAGTAACATTTGGTAGGCCTGACACATCCTTTAGATGCCTATTAAAAAGTTATGCCTAACTTCAAGATGAAAGGCATCAGCAGCTTCTAAGAAAAGGATAACCACAATCTTCTTCTGATTTAATTAGACATAACTCACAGAGGTTTTTGACTTGGTCTGCTGTTAATTGAATCAAAATCAATGACTATCTTATTGCACTTTGGTTTGAATTTCCTAAAGAGAGAGAGAGAGAGAGAGAGAGAGAGAGAGAGAGAGAGAGAGAGAGAGATATGGATATTAGCTTGTGAAGTAGTTAAACATTTTGTTTGCTTTGGCTCCTGACTAAATTTTAGGAAAGAAAAAAATATCCTTGGATTCTCTCCGCATTTTAAGAGAGAGAGAGAGAGAGAGATGGATATTAGCTTGCGAAGTAGTTAAACATTTTGTTTGCTTTGGCTCCTGACTAAATTTTAGGAAAGAAAAAAATATCCTTGGATTCGCTCCGCATTTTATCTCTATAGGAGCCAATTATAGTGCACCATACTGAGAGAAACTGGGACAAGAAAGACTAAGACAAAAAGACACACAGGGTTGCTTAGTCTGTATGTTCTTCAGCTATTGGAGTTCATAAATTAGCCAGGAGTCAGAAGATTTCTAACAACTTAGCTGCGGGAGGTGGCATCATATAACCAGAGGTTTTTTTTGTTAACATTTGATATCTTTTTCCATGCCACTTTTTCACAGAAAACTTCCAAAGTTTGTTTCAGTAATCTGAAAGCAAAGGGGGCAGCACATTGTATTATGCAAGGGAGAGAAAAGATAAACTAGTGAAAATGGAATAATTTTAAAACTATGACTTCAGAACTGTAAAATCAATATAACCAACAAAGCTCATCCTTTTACATCATTAGAGCATCTGCTACAGCAATTAGCAAGAAAGGTATTTGGGGACTCTGGATATATTTTACAATCTACCAGTAAACAGAGGATTATGCAAATAGTGTGGATTTAGTGTCTCATTAAGCTTGACAATTCAGTTCTAGAGATTCATTAAGCACAATCATATCCCCACAAATCAATACAAAAGACAAAAACAGTCAACACAATGATGGACACATCTGGAAAGATGGTTATACACAAGCTTTATTCAGCTCTTCGCATGAAATGATAGAAGAGGCCTAACCATTGGCAAGTTCTGAAAACGTTTCACTTGCAACAGAGAGAGTTGTGTCTCTACTTCACCAAGTGCTTATGGTATAATACCCTGGAGAGCTTTAGGGTATAATTCTAACTGAAACTTTACTGCTTCTTGATTTCTACTTTAGCTCAGCCAGTAGAACTCAAGCTAAAATTATCAGTCACTATCAAAACTGTTAAACATACAAAATTTAATAAGGTTATACTTTACTATAAAACATGTTCAAGTTCTAAAGAACTATTAGTGAGACTCTTCATACAGCACATTAAAGGATACATGAACTGCTAAGTACATTTAACTCTTACTGTTTTTATATGCTGTCAAGTCCCCTCTGATTCATGGCAACCCTATGAATGAGAGATCTTCAAAACGTCCTGTCCTCAACAACCCTGCTCACCTCACGGCTATGGATTCCTTTAGGCAGTCTGTCTATACATCTCAAATTTGGCCATCCTCTTTTGCTGCTGCTCTCAACCTTTCCCAGCATCATTATCTTTTTCAGCAAATCTTGCCTTTTCATACTGTGTCCAAAGTATGACAGTCTCAATCCAATATTTTTGCCTCCAGAGATATTTCAGCTATTCTACTGCCTCTTTAAATCTACCAGTTCCTTCAGGCTACAGATTTATTCCAGAGCATACATTTGCTTGAAGTGGTCTCAGGGATTGGTAAAAGACACCTACCCCAACACCTTATGCCTGCAAAAGAGTGGAGTAGTTGCCACCAAATATGTCTGGATTACTTGGAAGGCACATCTGTTAAAACTCAGAAAAGCAACTCACTTCCACACTCTTCAGCTTGCAGCTTGACATCATGAATATAAATAATGTAGAACTGCCTAGAGGAAGAAAATGCAGAAAATGCCCCCCAAAATAATTTTTTTTAAAAAAAAAAACTTCTTTTCTGTATTTGGAGAAAATGCAGAAAATGCCCCCCAAAATAAAAATAAAATAAAATAATTTGAAAAAACAATAAAAAAACCTCTTTTCTGTATTTGTTCCTACCTCCTTTCAGAGCATAATTTTACCACTTTGCCTATTTTCATCATCTTGCATACAAGAGGGAGGAGACCTACTGGCAAGCAGAGGTAAGACATCTGGAAGTGCCTCACCCCAAATTTCAGGATGAGATATGTTTCTGCTTGGATCATGGGTTGCCTATGAACAAATCCTTCAGTGAACATGGGGCTCCTCAAAAGCACAGCACAAGATCACAGAGGCACATGAAAGGAAGATGAGGGACAAGAGTAACATGCTCCTGTTCACTGACTCACCTGTACATAATTCCAGCTAAATCAAACAAGCGCCGTGCAGCTGTCATCTCCGGAGTGTCGTGATATTTGTCAGACATAAAAATAACTTCTTTTATACCTAGAACAGCAGACCCCAGAATTCAAAGTGGAGATGTTTAGATACATTCAAGGAAGCACTGATTTAGATTATACAGACCAAAAGGAACACTGATTTAGAGATGTTTTTAACTAAAGAAATGTATACATCAAAGTGGTTGGACTTCAGATAATGAAGCCTTATATTCAATAAGTTTCTACCACAAAAATTACCTCTGGCACAGAGATCTTTGTCATGGGCAGCAGGAAGAACTCCATGGAACACAAATAATGTGTTTTAAATATAAGGCCAAACGAATCAGTTGCTCATGATGTAGAACTATCAATATGTTTGACTACTTCGATAAAGATACTGTCAGCTTTTGGGTTAAAAATGCACAAAAGTAATAATATGCACATACTGAATTGTTCAGAAACGCAGAGGCTGTAAAGGACTTGTTAATATATATCTTATACAACAGGTTATCTACACAGTCTGATAATATTCTTGAATCTTCTCTTACCTATAGAAGGATTATGACATGCCGACACTACCAACAATCTAAAATAGATCATCCAACATCACACCACAGCTAGAACTAGCGTGATAGTTCCAGAGCACAGATATCTTGTCATACAAATATTGCTAGGAGTAGGAGCACTTTAATACGGAAAGGGATGAAATTGATAAAAAGATTGTAATAGTGTCTGTAACTTCAAGGTCCTGCAACTTAGCACTAGGATTTAGATGCCCAACAAATATGAGAAGCCCCAGTACAAACATAGGTTATTCTTTTCTGTACTAATCCATTTGATCACTGGTAGGAGGTCACACACAAACACACTCACACCCACACACATGGTTAATACGGAAAGGGATGAAATTGATAAAAAGATTGTAATAGTGTCTGTAACTTCAAGGTCCTGCAACTTAGCACTAGGATTTAGATGCCCAACAAATATGAGAAGCCCCAGTACAAACATAGGTTATTCTTTTCTGTACTAATCCATTTGATCACTGGTAGGAGGTCACACACAAACACACTCATACCCACACACATACAAGGCAAGCCATGGATCAGGGATGGGAAATTTGTGGCCCTTCAAAGGTTGTGGGACTTCAACTCCCATCAGCCCTAAACGACGGAGCAAACCAATGGTGAGGGTATAAAGCTGAAGTTTAGAACATAAACTGGATGAACAAGTTGCTTACCTGTAACAATAGTTCTTCAAGTGGTCACCTGTGAAGTCACACAAATGGTCTCCTGTCCAAATAAATGCTGCAGCAGAAACATTTACACTGGGTAGTTTTCACTGGGAACCGTGTACCCATTCCACTATGGTGCTTGCCTTGGCAGACCATAGCACCTTTCTCCTCACTTCCATGTCTGCTGCCAGGGACAGAGTCACCCGCATGATGGAGGGGGCAGGCAAGTTGTGTGACTTTAGATCAGTGCCCCCCAACTTTGGGCCTCCAGATGTTCTTGGACAACAACTCCCAGAAGCCTTCACCACCACCTCTGCTGGCCAGGATTTCTGGGAGTTGAAGTCCAAGAACATCGCAAGGCCCTAGGTTGGGGACCACTGCTTTAGATGATTGCCCAAAGAACTGCAGTTGCAAGTAAGCAACCTGTCCTATTTTCTGCATTGTTTCTGAGAATCACAGAAATGGGTAACCAGCTAGCTGCCATACTAGGAGGCATCTATTCGAGCTTTGAAGTCCAATCTGCAATGACTGACAAATACCAGTGGGTACAAGCATGCTGCTACTCTATATAAGCTTTGAGAGCTTCTTTGGGAACACTGTTGAAGAAGCCATTGCCCTGGTGACTCTGAACACTGTCAGGAATGGGAAATGAGTCAGTTATGAATAGTTATTGCTACCCATATCACTAAGCATTATGAGACACTTGATCACCTTTCTTATAGGCACAGTAATACACAGTGGCTTGTTCTGTGCTGCCAAATCCAAATGTTGTAGCAGCTTTTCCTAGAGAGGTAGATTATATGTCATTCTCTGTTTTGCAGATCAGCTTTTGTAAAATGACCTCTGGCTGGGGCAAAATAAATACTTGCTATGCAATTCACTCCCACCTCACTTAACACTTTTTGAAAAGAACCACAGGCCAGAAATAAGAACAATAATATATTTTTGGGAAAAAAAGAAAATAAGAAAGAAATGGTTAGGGTGAGTTGGAGAAAACGGATGAAAAATCAAAGAAACAATGCTGTTCAATACACAAATACAAAAATGCTAGAGAAAATGAAAACAATTGAAAAGGAATGTGTTAAGGCATGCATTGGCATACGTAGGGAATGGTAACAGGCTTCTTGCCAAAAGCTATGGAAGATTCTTTATTAGGCTTTGAACAGGCTTAAGACCCATTTGTGTGAGTGACAGAGACAATAAAGATCTGTGGATTACTGCCACCTAATTCTTTTCTATTTTGTCAACATCTCTGGAAAGTAAAGATGGTACTGTCCATTAGTGTATACAATTCTTTCAAATAAGAGAAAGGAGACTTTTCTCTAATCAATTTGTGAATGCAATAAACCCATGATGTTTAAAGCAGCCATCCCATGTCATAATTTAGAGCAGGTTCTGCACAATTTTTAAGCTCTCATATTTCTCAGTTTTCACTTCTGTCTCCATTGCTTCTTCCATCCATCCTTTTTATTATCTGATTTGCTGAGCCCAACCCTACAGAAATACAAGCGGGATTCCGAAGGGGCAGAGGAACTCGAGACCAAATTGCCAACATGCGCTGGATTATGGAGAAAGCCAGAGAGTTCCAGAAAAACATCTACTTCTGCTTCATTGACTATGCAAAAGCCTTTGACTGTGTGGACCACAGCAAACTATGGCAAGTCCTAAAAGAAATGGGCGTGCCTGACCACCTTATCCATCTCCTGAGAAACCTATATGTGGGACAGGAAGCAACAGTTAGAACTGGATATGGAACAACGGATTGGTTCAAAATTGGGAAAGGAGTACGACAAGGCTGTATACTGTCACCCTGCTTATTTAACTTATATGCAGAATACATCATGCGGAAGGCTGGACTGGAGGAATCCCAAGCTGGAATTAAGATTGCTGGAAGAAATATCAACAACCTCCGATATGCAGATGATACCACTCTGATGGCGGAAAGTGAGGAGGAACTAAAGAACCTTGTAATGAGGGTGAAAGACGAGAGTGCAAAAAACGGTCTGAAACTCAACATCAAAAAAACTAAGATCATGGCCACTGGTCCCATCACCTCCTGGGAAATAGAAGGGGAAGATATGGAGGCAGTGACAGATTTTACTTTCTTGGGCTCCATGATCACTGCAGATGGAGACAGCAGCCCCGAAATTAAAAGACGCCTGCTTCTTGGGAGGAAAGCAATGACAAACCTTGACAGCATCTTAAAAAGCAGAGACATCACCTTGCCAACAAAAGTCCGAATAGTCAAAGCTATGGTTTTTCCTGTAGTGTTGTATGGAAGTGAGAGCTGGATCATAAAGAAAGCTGACCGCCGAAGAATTGATGCCTTTGAATTGTGGTGCTGGAGGAGACTCTTGAGAGTTCCCTGGACTGCAAAGAGAACAAACCTATCAATTCTAAAGGAAATCAACCCCGAGTGCTCATTGGAAGGACAGATCCTGAAGCTGAGGCTCCAGTACTTTGGCCATCTCATGAGAAGAGAAGACTCCTTGGAAAAGACTTTGATGTTGGGAAAGTGTGAAGGCAAGAGGAGAAGGGGACGACCGAGGATGAGATGGTTGGACAGTGTCATCGAAGCAACCAACATGAATTTGACACAACTCCGGGAGGCGGTGGAAGATAGGAGGGCCTGGCGTGCTCTGGTCCATGGGGTCACGAAGAGTCGGACACGACTAAACGACTGAACGACTGAACACACAACCCTACTCATCTACCAGTGTTATCAATATGCACATTAAGATCATTTACTGAAAATCCAAGAACAGTCATACAGAAAAATAGAGGTTTGCTAAGTGAGAACTGTGCAATAAGGGACTGTTTAAATGGCAATTGGTAAAAGAGCTTAACTATTCCACCATTGTTCAAAAACAATACACAAAATGACAAATTAATTGGTAGGTTTATAGACTAATGTGAGCTTTGGAAACTGGAATATAATAAAAGATGTAAACATTAAGGAAATAGTACAGTGGTGCCTCGACTTACAAACGTCTGGACCTATGACCATTTCGAGTTACAACCAGCTTCGGCAGCAAAAGTTTGCTTCAACTTGTGGCCAGAGTTTCAAGTTATGATCAAAAAAAGGCAGGGAACAAAGGTGGGAAATTCAAATTGTTAATTGTTGGTAGGCGAAGAGGTTGCTTCTTTGTAGCTCTTTCGCCCCAACAGTTAGAGTGAGTGTGATCAGAGGAGGCTTCGGACTGCCTGGTAAGGTAAGGTGCTGCTTTCTGTTTTTTGAAAACTGTTCTAGGTGGGTTTTGCAGCGTGGTTTTGGGCTGAGAGGGTTATGTTTCTGTGCTGTGATGGGTCTTTGGGGGTTGGTTGGTTTGTTGGTATTTTTCCCCCATTTCTGAAAGGTCTTGGGGGGGGTTGTTTGCTTTTTGGGTCCCCCCCATTTCAGGTGTGTCTTGCATGCTTTGCTTGCTTTCTGTTTTGCTTTTTTCACCATTTCCGAAGTGTCTTGCATGCTTCACTTGCTTTCTGCTTTGTCCCCCCCCCATTTCCAGTGTGTCTTGCATGCTTGGCTTGCTTTTCTTTTCTTTTCCCCCTTTGGCCCTAACAGATTAATCGCATTCCCAATCGGTCTTGTAGTGTGTGTTGGGGGGTTTTTTTGTGATTTTTTTTACTTCATCCGGAACAGATCAATTGCATTTCAATACATCTGCTGGAATGGATTAAGTTCATAAGTCGAGGCACTACTGTACCCCGCCTTAAATAATTTTGAAAGTTTCATTCCTCTTAAAATGCATGCATGGTACAAATTTGCTTTTGAGAAGTCTTTATCACTATGAAGGCAATTATTAATGGCTACTACTTACATTTGTGAACCTCATACATTTATTTTATTTTCTATTGTCATTTTAAACAATATTTTGACACTTTGATACTTTAGAATTGCCCTTCATGTATTAACTAAGAATCTCATTTTGATACCGTTAATCAGCGTAAAAGGCTCTTTTCTTTATTATGCTTTCACCCTTTTTTCCGTCTCCAAACCTGATCAACTTTTAACATATACATGGAATAACGATAGAAGTTATCCATAAAATGCAGGGTACTAAATAGTTAATGACTGAGTCTCATATAAACAATCTCTTTTTCCATATTTAGCAGGCTGGATAGCTCAGTGGTTTAGGTATCTGGCTGCAGAGCCAGTGTTTGGGAGTTCAATCCCCCTGCTGTGTCTCGTAGGAGAACAGGCAGCCTCTATGGCTCTAGGCAAGCTGCACAATCCCAGGAAGTCCCCAGAAGAAAGGAATGGTAAACCACTTCTGTGTATTTGCTACCTAGAAAACCCTGCAAAGGGCCACCATGGTTCAGAATTGCCTCAATGACACCCAATTATTATTAAGAGACCAAACCCAGAATGGGACATGTGGAACAGAGTAGATTATATCCAACTCCAGTGATACAATTCTTCTTGAAATAAATGTGAGAATTGCCATTCACCTCTACAGGTGAAAAATTCACAGGAGACTGCCTTGTACAATGCTGAGTTCCACTGGCTATTTCGGTTCCTTTCCTAGGCCTACCTGCTTGACCACGAGACCTTTACCACTGAACTATGGACCTCCCCCAAAGCAAAAGGCTGCATGTGAGAATTTGGAGCAATGAAGGCAAAGCCTGCCACAAGTACAAGTGGGTGGCCCAACCCTCTCCCCGTAAGGATCCTGTAGCTATATGTGTGACTCCAGACACCAGGGGTCTGTGAAGAATGCAAGCCTTCTCTCTGAACCTTTTCATAATGACAGACATTTTACTAGTGTCTAATAATTGGAAGAAAGGCCTAACCATCAGACCAAGCACACCTGCTGCGGTGGCAAAGATTTATAACTACTGTAATGAAAGGCATAATTATAAGAGAGATGCTGGAACTCTTATGACATTTATGACCAAAGAGATAAAATCTTCAAGTGTCTACCACGTTTGATGTTCAAATTAAAATGTTACATATATACTCCCGGGAGAACTTGTGTCACACAAAGTTTATTCTTCTCTCCCCACCCACCCCTATTCTCTTCACAGTGTGTCAAAGTACTGTAAATTGACAGTAATTATATGCAATGCCTGCACACTTCCTTGGCAGCACTTGATCTAGGAAGCTGCAAACTTAAATTAAAAACAAGCTAAGAATCACAGAGAATGCAATTAGCACTGGAAAACTTGGCACCAAAGTATAGAAAGCGCAAGGAATGTCTTAAAGGTTGATAGTACAATTAATTTAGATCTAAACAGCCGCAATTTGAAAACCAAATACATCTGTGGTGAGGTATCCACGAACAGACAGAACAGCAATACCGAGAAATCAAGCTGGCATTTTCCCTTACCTGCCTGGATGATGAGCTTCGCACATTCATTACAAGGAAACAAGGCAACATACATGCTGCAGCCTTTCACATCAGCAGAGTTCTTGTTCATTATGGCATTCAGTTCAGCATGACACACTGATTAAAGATAAAAAGAACCCAACAAATATTCATATGTACGCTCATTAAAACGAGTCATCAATTTAAAACTTAACAAAGTGTTAAGCTGCAAATGCCTGTGTCCTTCCAGAGGCAAACAGTCAGCACAATTTGTCACACAAGAGGGAAATTTAGAGGAGAGAAAGGGAGGGGAAAAGAATCCAGAAATACCAAGATCAATGAAGGTCAAGTGGTCTGGCCAGGCTTGCAGTGAGTAATGAAATCGTTAAGCACATTAACATGGCCATTTGTGAACACCTACAGGACAAAACAAAGCCATAGGCTGAAGGCCAAGTAGTTTCAGCTACCCTAAATGTGGCAATATCTCATATTACCAGTGCTCCCAGAAAGCATCTAATTGCCAAAATAAAAGAGCTCATTTATGTGTTTACACGCACGGATAGGAATGTTCTTTTGATTAGGCAAGTTCACTTTGTGTTCTTAGGAGTGAAGGAGGTTACAAAGTAAGAACAAGCACATTTTACCTGTATGTAAGAAAACTGGCAGCAAAGCTTGACAAAAGGCAAAAGTTTAGAGCAATGGTTCCCAACCTTGGGTCCCCAGATGTTCTTGGACTGCAAGAAATCCTGGCCAGAACAGGTAGTGGTGAAGGCTCTGGAGAGTTTTAGTCCAAGAACATCTGGAGACCCAAAGTTGGGAACCACTGGTTTAGAGAATCATTTTGTATTACTACCATCATCATTAGCGTCTAGTAAGAAAGTCCATCAAAGTGCCTACAAAAATACTAGCTTGCCAGCTACAAGATCAGCTTCAAACTTACCCAAGAGTTTATTTAGTGTTAGGAGACAACATTAGGACCATGTGGGGGAAACATTGTCTAAAAGTGATGAAAAACTATAAATACTTGTAGTGCTTTGTATATTTCTTGATACCTGCCTTCTAGATGCGAACAGACTGCATGTCCTGGTCTTTGTCTAATATGCCAGAGGCAGGCAAATCCAGACAGGGAAAATATTAGGTTTTTTTTTTTCTTTTGAACAGAAGACCCTGTTGCTTTATTGTATTCAGTTTCTGGAAATCTCTAGTTTGCCCTATGGGAGCTGGAGATTAGGCACTCCCTCCCTTTGAGAAACTAGACTACTTCCACAGCACTCTGGATACACAAAAGTAGTTGTACATTTCTTCAACTCTGGGCTGTACACTCACATTTTAAAATATTTTTTAAAGACAAGTGAGAACTAGAATCCTAAAAGCTGAGTTTGTTGGTATTTGCTGTTAAGTAGCTTCTAATTTATAGCAATCCCAGTAGTGTTTTCAAGATATGTGAGATATTTATGGAGTAGTTGCACCATTGCTACCTCCCTCTCCAAACTTCAGGGGCCAAATGGGAGTCTGAATGTAAGTCTAGTCTGCCACTCTATCCAGTATACCAAACTGGCTCACAATGACTTGGTTTGAGTAACAACAAAGATTATTAAGATCTTAAGACACTCAGGTTGACTCTAAAACAAATTGTATATATGGATTTCAGGACATCCCATAATTGATCTAGTCAATATAAAGTAACAATACTTTCAAAATTGCAATATAAGTAAAAAATATAGAGTGGTGCCCCGCTTAACTATTACCCTGCTTGACGACGCAATAGCGATCGCAAAACAGTGTTTTAATGGGCAAAATCCGCTTTGCGACGATCGGTTCCCTGCTTCGGGAACAGATTCTTCGTATTACAATCATCAAAACACAGACATTTTACTAGTGTCTAATAATTGGAAGAAAGGCCTAACCATCAGACCAAGCACACCTGCTGCGGTGGCAAAGATTTATAACTACTGTAATGAAAGGCATAATTATAAGAGAGATGCTGGAACTCTTATGACATTTATGACCAAAGAGATAAAATCTTCAAGTGTCTACCACGTTTGATGTTCAAATTAAAATGTTACATATATACTCCCGGGAGAACTTGTGTCACACAAAGTTTATTCTTCTCTCCCCACCCACCCCTATTCTCTTCACAGTGTGTCAAAGTACTGTAAATTGACAGTAATTATATGCAATGCCTGCACACTTCCTTGGCAGCACTTGATCTAGGAAGCTGCAAACTTAAATTAAAAACAAGCTAAGAATCACAGAGAATGCAATTAGCACTGGAAAACTTGGCACCAAAGTATAGAAAGCGCAAGGAATGTCTTAAAGGTTGATAGTACAATTAATTTAGATCTAAACAGCCGCAATTTGAAAACCAAATACATCTGTGGTGAGGTATCCACGAACAGACAGAACAGCAATACCGAGAAATCAAGCTGGCATTTTCCCTTACCTGCCTGGATGATGAGCTTCGCACATTCATTACAAGGAAACAAGGCAACATACATGCTGCAGCCTTTCACATCAGCAGAGTTCTTGTTCATTATGGCATTCAGTTCAGCATGACACACTGATTAAAGATAAAAAGAACCCAACAAATATTCATATGTACGCTCATTAAAACGAGTCATCAATTTAAAACTTAACAAAGTGTTAAGCTGCAAATGCCTGTGTCCTTCCAGAGGCAAACAGTCAGCACAATTTGTCACACAAGAGGGAAATTTAGAGGAGAGAAAGGGAGGGGAAAAGAATCCAGAAATACCAAGATCAATGAAGGTCAAGTGGTCTGGCCAGGCTTGCAGTGAGTAATGAAATCGTTAAGCACATTAACATGGCCATTTGTGAACACCTACAGGACAAAACAAAGCCATAGGCTGAAGGCCAAGTAGTTTCAGCTACCCTAAATGTGGCAATATCTCATATTACCAGTGCTCCCAGAAAGCATCTAATTGCCAAAATAAAAGAGCTCATTTATGTGTTTACACGCACGGATGGGAATGTTCTTTTGATTAGGCAAGTTCACTTTGTGTTCTTAGGAGTGAAGGAGGTTACAAAGTAAGAACATTTTACCTGTATGTAAGAGAACTGGCAGCAAAGCTTGACAAAAGGCAAAAGTTTAGAGCAATGGTTCCCAACCTTGGGTCCCCAGATGTTCTTGGACTGCAAGAAATCCTGGCCAGAACAGGTAGTGGTGAAGGCTCTGGAGAGTTTTAGTCCAAGAACATCTGGAGACCCAAAGTTGGGAACCACTGGTTTAGAGAATCATTTTGTATTGCTACCATCATCATTAGCGTCTAGTAAGAAAGTCCATCAAAGTGCCTACAAAAATACTAGCTTGCCAGCTACAAGATCAGCTTCAAGCTGACCCAAGAGTTTATTTAGTGTTAGGAGACAACATTAGGACCGGGCACTCGTTAAACAAGGCACCACTGTACAAAAGTAGTTGTACATTTCTTCAATTCTGGGCTGTACACTCACATTGTAAAATATTTTTAAAAGACAAGTGAGAACTAGAATCCTAAAAGCTGAGTTTGTTGGTATTTGCTGTTAAGTAGCTTCTAATTTATAGCAATCCTAGTAGTGCTTTCAAGATATGTGAGATATTTATGGAGTAGTTGCACCATTGCTACCTCCCTCTCCAAACTTCAGGGGCCAAATGGGAGTCTGAATGTAAGTCTAGTCTGCCACTCTATCCAGTATACCAAACTGGCTCACAATGACTTGGTTTGAGTAACAACAAAGATTATTAAGATCTTAAGACAGACACTCAGGCTGACTCTAAAACAAATTGTATATATGGATTTCAGGACATCCCATAATTGATCTAGTCAATATAAAGTAACAATACTTTCAAAATTGCAATATAAGTAAAAAAATATACAGTGGTGCCCCGCGTAACGATTACCCCGCTTGACGACGAATCCGTTTCACGACGATGTTTCCGTTTCATGATGCAATAGCGACCGCAAAACAATGTTTAATGGGTAAAATCCGCTTTGTGATGATCGGTTCCCTGCTTCGGGAACAGATTCTTCGTATTACAATCATCAAAACAGCTGACTGTCAGGTTTTCAAAATGGCCGCTGGTTGTTCAAAATGGCTCCCCGCTGTGTTCAGGACGGATTTTTCGCTGCACAGGCACCGGAAAAATGGCTGCCCTATGGAGGATCTTCGCTGGACGCTGAGGTATTTTGCCCATTGGAATACATTGAACCGGTTTTCAATGCATTTCAATGGGCTTTTTTATTTTGCTTGACGAGGATTTCCCTCTACAGCGATTTCGCTGGATCGGATTATCCTCGTCAAGTGAGGCACCACTGTATTTCAATCTGATTGGACTATACATTAATGACTTATTACACACTACCTAAGAGGCTGAGAAGTGATTAGCATCATAAAAATATAAGCAGTCAAAATTTGATGTTGATGCATACATAATATGTTATAAATGGGAATAAATTTTTATACAGATGTTTAACTCAAAGTTCCCCAAACATGAAGCACTGTTATAGGTCAAGTATTCAGAACTGAATGAAACAGATCAGTGGCCTCCAGTGACATCAGCAAAAGTTTTTTAAAAATTGATTAACGCACCGAAGAATAAGAAAGCTCCAGGTGAACATGTGTTACTACACACCTGAAATATCCCTAGAAAATATTAACGTGGTCACCAGTGCTGGCAAAATAGTTATCCTATGAAAATATACAATATTGAATGTGGTAAGCTGCCTAAAGGCTGGTAGTATAACTGTACCAATTTATAAGAAAGGGGATAAAAGTGACCCAGCTTATAAATTTATTGATGTGACCTCAAAATTATATGCCTGTTATCTCTTGATTAAACTGGAAGACTGGGTAGAGTCTAACAAAATTATTGTTGAACAATAAGTGGGTTTTAGGAAAGGCAGAAATACTATTCATCAATGGCATGTCTTATTTCATCTCATAAATAAATAAATATGCTAAGGGGGCTAAGAAGCACCTGTATGCAATTTTTGTAGACCTTACAGCAGCAATTGACAGAATAAATTGTGGGTAAAGCTTTGGAACTCCAATATTGATAAGAGAGTATTTATTCTTATTAGAATTTTGTATGCTGATACAGATATGAGAGTGACAGTTGGCCTTAATAGCAGGCTGACAGATCGAATTCCAACTTCTAAGGGAACACGGCAGGGCTGTTAATTAGCTTCCATTCTTTTCAAGATTTATAAAAATTTTAGAGCTCAAAAATAAATCCTAGAATATTTTCCTGTTTTAGTTTCAGTCCACAAACTATCAGCTGTGATACATGCAGATGATATGATTTTAATATCACACACTCAAGTGAAGATTAAATACTTGTTGAAAGATTTTGACACAATCTGTCATAAGAAATATTTTCATATAAATTATGCTAAAACAAAAATTGTAGTATTTGGAAAGCCCCCTTTGAAGGGGCTTGATACCTGCCTTCTAGATGCGAAATGGTGCCTGGGTGGCCATGTGACTGAACAAGGGAGATATTTTAATTATCTTGGTGTACAGTTTGAAGATAGGGGCAACTGGTCCTACCATCTCACTGTTTCAGCCTTGAAGGCTACAAAATCTGTAAAGGCAGTTCTGAGTTTTTCTAGAACAAAAGGTGAGAATATGATAACTACTGCCTTAAGAGTATATTTAGGCAAAGTGATCCTACAATTATCTTATCAGAGGGAAATCTGAGGAATTACAAAAATAAAAAATTTGGAAACTGTGCAAAATAATTTTTCCAAATCTTTCCTTGGTTTGCCTCCATCTACTACAGCATCTAGTATCAGAGCTGAGATTGGCATTATGTGATACAGTTTTACAACTAGGTTGTTTGTTTCATGTATTACTTTAAGCTTCTTAGGATGGAGGATTCCAGGTTTCCAAAAAAATGCTTTCTAAAACAAATGAAATCTGACAGCTAAAACATCCAGATAGCTTACTGTGATCAACACATGCTAGCCTTTGTTTTAATTCCACAAGATCTCCAAACAAGAACTTTGGATCACACCCACTCATTTATAAAGAATAAGTTGAGGCATTTCCAGACTCAGCAAGACTTGAATGCTATGAGTATTAAGATTTCATTATTTTCCCTTATTTGTACTTTTTGAAATTACCCCATAGATTTATGAATGATTTACATGAACTGTCAGCCCCTCCCCTTAGGAAAGCATTTTCAGCACTAAGATTTCAAACTATATCACTGCAATATAGGAAAGGGAGGTATACCCAGATACCAAGGTGACACTGTTTTTGTATATGTGGAGCCCAAAGAGTAGAGGATGCATTACTCCTCAGATTTGCTAGAAGATATTCCAGATAAAACTGACCATAATAAAATTATCTTTCTGTTATCTGATGTTAATAAAAGAGTAACAGATAGAGAAGCAAAATTTGCAGCTGTGCAAATGATGAGGAATTTTTTAAAGACTCATATGGTTAATTGCAATAACTTAGTTTTGGGTTTTTTAAAAATTATGTGTGCATTTTAATTTGGCTGCACTGTTTTTAATACAGTATTTTGTGAATGTATGTTTTTGTATTTTTTAAAATTTGCCTGTATTGTATTTGTCAAGCTAACACTCCATAGGTATGCAGTGGTGCCTCAACTTACAAATGTCCCTACTTATGACAATTTCAAGTTACAACTAGCCCCAGCTGCAAAATTTTGCTTCTACTTGCGATCGGAGCTTCCACTTACGAACAGAAAAAGGCAGGGGAAAAAGGCAGGAAATTCAAATTTCTAACTGTAGGTGGCGACAAGGCTGCTTCTTTGTAGCTCTTTCACCCCAGCAGTTAGAGAGCGTGCGGAGAAGCCTGCATGGTAAGGTAAGGTGCTATTTTTTGCTTTTTAAAAAATGTTCTGGGTGTTTTTGCAGTGTAGTTTTGGGCTGGGGGGTTATGTTTCAGTGCTGTGATGGGTATTGGGGGTTTGTTGGTTGGTTGTTTTTCCCCCATTTCCGATGGGTCTTGGGGTTTTTGTTTGTTTGTGCTTTGCTTTTCCCCCATTTCTGATCTGTCTTGCACTTTGCTTGCTTTTTGCTTTGCTCTTTCCCCATTTCCAATCTATCTTGCATGCTTCGCTTGCTTTTTGCATTGCTCTTTACCCATTTCCAATCTGTCTTGCATGCTTTGCTTGCTTTTTGCATTGTTCTTTACCCATTTCCGATCTGTCTTGCATGCTTCACTTGCTTTTTTCATTGCTTTCCCTTCATTTCCATCTGTCTTGCACACTTGATTCCTTTTCTCCACCCACCCCCCTTTGGCTGGAAGGGATTAATCGCGTTTCCGATGGGTCTTGCACTGATTTTTATGTGTGTGATTTTTTTCTTCAGCCAGAACGGATTAATTGCATTTCAATGGTGTGAATGGGTTCAGCTTTGAATTTGGGCGGTTCATTTTGGGTGGGAAGTACAAGAGTTGTTTTCTTCATATTTATTGGGTACAGGTGGATCAACATTATTAGAAAAAGGGTCAATGAAACTCAATTCTGGCAACAAGCCATAACTGTCCAAGGCATATTCAGTCCTGTCACCAACTGAACTCAGAGGGCTGCAG